TTTTTGAAATAGAGATGGCCCTTCAGATCACACTGTATGGAGTACCAGGATCTCTGCTAGTGATTAAGTGCACTGTGCCTCTGGAATTGGATTTTGAAGAGGAAAACAATAGTGGCAGCAACATAATACAATTTACTGAGTCAGTGACAGTCTTAAAGTAGCTTAAAGTAAAACACAATTTAAGTGCCTGTTATCAGTCCCAAAATAAATGACCAATCCCCAGAGAAAGTCTGGATGAGCTTCCCTGATTTGCTGCCGATCTCTTTTGCTTGTGGTTTTCTGTAACAGTTCTTAGTGTGGCAAATGCAAATTCTGAGGCTGGCGCCCACAGGCAGGTCTCAGGGTGGCAGAGGGAGTCCCGCTCCTGCCGGAGCTGTGTGCTGCACGTCACACAGTCGGGGGCCCCTGGGAGCCATTCCGGGCCTCCGGCGGGTCCAGCTGCAGCCCCTACCTGGCGCCTGCTCTCCGGTTCCCTTGTTTAAACACATTCTCTCCAACACATGGTCTAGGGCAGTGGTTGGCAAACCGTGGCTCACGAGCCACGTGTGGCTCTTTGGCCCCTTGAGTGTGGCTCTTCCACAAAATACCACGTGCGGGTGCGCAAGTACAGTGCGATTGAAAGTTCATGGCCCATGTGCAGAAGTCGGTTTTCGGCCTGGGTGAGTCTATTTTGAAGAAGTGACATTAGAAGAAGTGGGGAGGTTTTGGTCGGTCAGGCGATGGGAGATGCATCACAGGCCGGCTGCGGGATATGCAGTGCGGGGGAGGCGCCAAATATCAACAGTACTTAAACTATATAGGTAGGTTAATAACAATGTACCTACCTATATAATTTAAGTTTAAAAAATTTGGCTCTCAAAAGAAATTTCAATCATTGTACTGTTGATATTTGGCCCTAGGGGATCGTCACTGCCGGCCAGGTGGGAGGGTAGAGGGTGGGAGACTACTGTAGCACCGGAAAACCGCCGGCAGTTTCAATGCTCCTATGCGTGCCAGGTTACTGATGTGTCAGTGAGACTGGGCGGCAGGTGTGAGCATCGCTGGGTGTGTCTGGGCGGGGGGCGGGCTGTGGGTGTGATTCACCAGGGAACCTGGAGACTGAATGAAGCAGACTGCCCTCTCTGGTGGGGTGGGCCTCGACCGAGCAGCCGACGGTGTGACCGTACAGGAAGGCTGACCCTCTCCAAGTGAGAGGCCAGTCGTGGGCCTGCCTGTGGGAGCCGGGATGGGGTCTCTCCTGCCTTCTCACCGCTGGAACACGGCTCTTCTCGGGTCTCGCACCTGCCAGCCTCTGCACTGCACCTGCACCGTCCTTCCTCCTGCACTCAGGCCGCAGGCTCCACGGAGCTGCACCGGGATCTCCGGGCCTCGACTCCCCACTGCAGACATTGGGACTTCTCAGCCTCCGTAACCATGGAGCCAGGCGCTTACACTAAATCTCATTCTATCTATCTATCTATCTATCTATCTATCTATCTATCTATCTATCATCTATCTATCTATCATTTATTTATTTTCCACACCATGGAATACTATGCAGCTGTAAAAAGAAGGATCTCTTACGCTTTATGAACAGCAGGTATGGACCTGTGGAGCTTTATGCTAAGCGAAATGAGCCAGTAAGAAAAGAGAAATATCACATGATCTTACTTAAAGGTGGAACCTATTTATCATCTATCTATTTATTTATCTATTATCTATCTATCTATCATCTACCTATCTATCTATCTATCTATCGATCTATCTATCTATGTATTATCTATCTATCATCTATCTGTCAGTCAATCATCTATTTAGCATCTATCTATTTATTTATCTATTACCTATCTATCTATCATCTATCTATCTATCTATCTATCTATCTATTTATCTATCTATTCTCTCTCTCTCTCTCTCATCTATCCATCCATCTGGTTGGTTTTCTGGTACCCGCCTCTGCCCATCTCTGAGTGTGACAGAAACTCAAGGCGTGACCAAGAATAGTACAGGGTACATCACACACAGACAGCAAAACCCAGGACATGAAACTCAGGTTGACACACAATCCCTACTCAGCAGAGGGCTTAGGCCAGAGGACGAGGTAAATGCATTTAGAATGAGAAACCTATTTTAAAATTTTACTTATGAATAATCTAATCTAACGCTTTCAAAATTCGAAAGATTGAGGTGAGCATCAGTCACTCACATGCAATCAATCACATGCTTAATGTGTTTCTCAGAGAAAGAGCTTTTTAACACCTGACCTTGCACAAGGGGAGGTGTTGACTTGTAATGACTACAAATTCCAACATGATCTTTACTCAGTGCACCATGAGCTAACACTTTTAATAGGAAGCTGTTTCATTTTCTAGCAACACATTCTAGAACCCTCTAGGATTCTAGCTATGGCACCACTGATGCCCATGAAATGAAAACAGCAAGGCTCTAGTACTGGGACAGAAGGACCCAGTGCCATGCCAGTCACCCCTTCAACGCAGCTTGTCTTCACCCCATCCTGAGGAGATGTGCCAGTCCTCTCACACGCAAGCAGGAGCTTCAAGCTAACATGGATCTACTCAGCTCGTCAACAGCTCTCAGGCCACTTTGCCACCTGCCTGGCAGAAAAGTCCGTTATCCCAGAGAAGACCCAGTTCTGGAGTAGGGCGGCCTGAGGCAGCTGGGGTGGCTGGAGCAGGGGATGGAGAGGGCGGGAGGAGCTGGTGCTGGGGGAGAACCAAGTGAAAATGGGACCAGACCAGGCGGGCCTCCCAGACCCTGCCAGGGCGTTTGTGTCTGAGATGTGCTGACCAACCCGCTTTCTGGGTCATGGGAAGGCTTCCGTTGGCACCTTCCCGAAGAGTGGAAGTGCCCTCCTGGGAACGGATCTGAGCGAGGAGGGCTTCAGCCCAAAACTGTTAGTATGGCTTCCACTCCAGGCCTTTAAAAACACTGGCTATTACAAAAAATACAGTAAAATAAAGACTAGAAAGAGAGACTGGCTCAGAAGAGTAGGTGCGCATTAAAGGCGAGTGTGTTGGTGGGAGGGAGGAATAAGCCCGCTGGAACTTGAGTCCTTGGTGTCTGACCTTGACCTAGGGACCTTGTTCCTACAGGTAAACTATTGACCTGTTTGTGCCATGGCTGCTGACCTGTGAGACAGCAATGACCACCAACAAGATTGCAAATCATTCTGCAAACACTGACAGCAACAGAAACAAAGGAGTCAGTACCTCCCTGGCTGTGAGATCCGTGGCTACATCAGAGTTGAATACCTTCTCTCTGTGGAGTTTAACTTCTGTTAAACAGCGTGTGTGTATGTGTGTGTGTGTGGGTGGGGGGGGGGCAGAGTGAGCATGTGCTTATTCTCACACAGCCAACCCGTGCTCACTGGGAATGCACTCTCTCTGATGCACGGCCAGCTCCCAGGGGACCCCACAGCACCCAGCAACACCCCGCGGCCAGCTCCCAGGGGCCCCACAGCATTCGCTCAACGCAGAAGAGCCAGCAGGAGCAGGGCTGAGGGGGAGGAATCTGTGCTTTCAACTTCTTTTTAAATGCAGCTCCTCCTGCCCTAGCTGGTTTGGCTCAGTGGATAGAGCATCAGCCTGTGGACTGAAGGGTCCTGAGTTCGATTACAGTCAAGGGCACATGCCCGGGTTGCAGGCTCAATTACCAGTAGGAGGTGTGCAGGAGGCAGCCGATCAATGATTCCCATCATTGATGTTATTCGACCGCCAAAGGGATCGCGACCCACAGGTTGAGAACCGCTGCTCCATATAAATAAATAAATGCAGCTCCTCCTTTGGGTGAGTGGGAGGCGCCACGCCCATTGTTTCATAACCTAGTGAGGGGATGAGCTGCAGCTGAGCCGTTGCAACTGGAGCAGCGGCAGGAAGAGCACGGGCAGTGGGAGCCGAGGGCTCCTCGGGGCTTGTGCTGTGAGCTCAGTGATTCATGTGGAAACTGCGGTCTCCTGTGACAACCCATTAAGGGGCGGGGAGTGTGCACAGAGCTGTACTCATTCAGGGCACGGGGATTGCCCCCGCCAGCCACTACATGGAGAGGCTGTGCACACTGTCTTCAGCAGTGAAAGGGGATAAGGGCCGATCTTCGGGAAAATGAAGCATTTACAGAACTGGGACAGCTACTTCTTCGTGAACCTGGAAAGAACCCCGCAGCCTCTTCAGTTCCTTCTTTTCAGATTCATGCTTAGCAACCAGGTGACCCCAATGACCCAGACATGGAGCACAACACGTTCGTGGGTGAGAGCTGGTGACAGCCAACTGGATACCCAGGCCCTGGTTAGTGGCCACGAGTGGCTGACGAGGGACAAGTAGCTGGACAGACACCCCCTTTTGGTTCCAGCCAGTCCCTTGCAGTTTGCTGACTGACGCTCCCCCGCCCTGGCCCACCCCAGTGGGGAGCAGGTGAGCGCTACAGTGCAGGCTGAGGAGCATCCGTACATGGGCCGGTGCCTCAGGACTGCTCACCTGACCAGGCCTCCCTGCTCAGCCCCCGTGCCCTTCTGCTCTGCCATGCTTCGGGGCGATTCTGCTGCGTGTGGTGATCGAGGGTTCGGGGTCTGATCCCTGAGCAAGTTCTCCCTGGAGGTGTTATCTGTGGAAGGAAACAACGTAGACAGAATCTGTGCCAGCCTTGACGTGGCTGTGTCCAACAACATAAGCTACAAAGATGCGCTTGTTTTCCCAGAAGCAGCTTCACAGTACCGCCTCCCCCCACCCATGCTATAGAGCGGTGCCCTACGCAGGAGGAGCTGACCTGCAGACACCACCTTTGGCCTGGCGGAAAATATACCTAAAGTCGCTGGGTTATATAACAAAAGTTCACTGAGTACGTTTCTTTTTAAAATTAGTAAGCTGAGACGTTGTCATTCTCAGTTCTGCTAAAGTACTCATATTTTTATGGCTGAATTCAATGCATCATAAAATTCAGAAAAATAAGATAAGCATAAATGGTGCCATTATGGTTTTAGAATTTTGGATTATAATTTTTAATGCAATCAAACCTTGCTTTTGCTTTGATCTTTAGCTACAACATCTTTTCTGAAGAAGCAACACAAACCAATGTGTGTTGGTTTCAATTTCACTCCAAAAAATGAAATGCTCCCTTTAAATCTACAAATATAATTCCCAATTAATATAGTTTAAGTTGCATTTTACCCAGAGGATAATCAACTCACTGTAAATATTTGGATTATGGAGAAAATTTTAAAGATAAAAAGAAAATATAGAAGAAGCAAAGGAATACAATGAGCACAACATAAGGGTTACTCATTACCCAGGTTTCGAATTTCTCTTTGATTGGAAGTACTGGGCTTAGAAAACTGAAACCAAGGTCCAAATTATAGACCTTATTTTATGGTATCCTATATAATAAAGAGGTAATATGCAAATTGACCCTCACTCCATCATGCTGTCACAAGAGGGCTATGCACACAGTGGAGGCAGAGTTCCCTTAACGAGCTGTGACAAGCGATCAGCAGGGACCTTAGGCTGCATGGCGCTGGGCCAGGGTGGGGGACCTGAGGCTGTGCCCTCCCTGCCTGGCAGGGCTTGACGGGGGATCTCAGACCGTGCCCCCAATGCCCTGGGCCGGGGGACCTGAGGGTGTGCCGGGGGACCTAAGGCTGAGCCCCTGCTCAGCGGGGCCTGACAGAGCACCTGAGGCTGCACCCCCCACAAGGCAGGTCTTGATGGGGGTCCTGAGGCTATGTCCCCACCTGGCAGGGCTTGGCAGGGTGGGGCCGGAAGGGTGTGGATCTTGCCCAATGGGGGTGGGGCCAGCTGGGTCTGGGTCTTGTGTGATTTTGAGGTGCACCATGGGTGGGTGGGGACTTGACTCTGGGTCCTGAGGCCTGCCCCAGACTCTGACAGGAGGAAGATTTTCATATATATTTTATTAATTTTCTTTCATCTCTGACACCTCTATTATAGAGAAAGGGCAAATAGCAATATTAACATATTTCCTCTAATCCCCTTTTAATGTGCATGAATTTTGTGCACTGGGCCACTAGTTACATTATAATTAAAAAAGTTAAGCCCAACCAGTATTGAAAATCTGGATTTGCAAAAGTTACAGAGAGGGGGTGATGACTTACTTTACAAGAGTGTTCAGTGTACAAGTCCTGTAATATGAAACTTTCTACAATCCATCTAAAATCTTTAAATGTGTTAACTTTTTCTGGAGCATATTTCCGGATTAGAGGGAATGATAAAATTGAGTCACCATTTACAGTTTTTAAAAGTTAATGACTAAGAAAGCTGACAGCCTAGATTTCCCAAGACAGTTTTGTTCCGTATGCATCTCTTACCTGCCTTCATTTTGAAATTACAGTAGTTTTGGGTGCAAAGCTAGGAAACACAGTAATAAGGGTGGTTTTTCATGTTTAATTGAAAAGCCCCGAACACCCCATCTGCCAGGCACAAAACAGCCTCGCTGCAGGAGCGGTCGTGCCTGAGGACTGCCCAGGCGATGCTGCCTCTGCACGCACTCGGCCCGCTGGTGGGACAGGAGCCTCTTGTCCAGCACGTGGGGTCAGCAGGGTGCTGACCAGTCCTGGGCAGAGTTCAGAGTAAAGAGCCTTTTTAACATGAGAGGCTCTGGCTAGAAATAAGAGAGAAGGATCTGTTTCCCTGTGTGTTTGGGTTAAGCCATATTTCCATTTCTCTTTAACCAACCAGAAAGCTCACTTATGATCCCCGGCATTGTGCCACATCCTGCCGCCTCGGAAGGCAACAGCCAGAGCCTTTTCCGTGATCTGCAAACACTGAAGATGGAAGAGCAGCGCTCTAACCTCTGGCCAGATGTCCAGGACCTGCATGGACTGGGCCCCTTGACACTGCATGTTGTGAATGCGTGTTTGCATGTTGTGAATGCGTGTTTGCATGTTGTGCATGTGTGTTTCACATGCAGAGGATCTAGGCTTAATATGAGCTCCTCAAAGTGATCTAAACTAAAGCAGGATTATGAGCCATTGGGTTTGTATATTTTCCTTCCTTCCTTCCTTCCTTTCTCCCTTCCTCTCTCTCTCTCTCTCTCTCTCTCTCTCTCCCCTCCCTCCCTCCCTCCCTCCCTTCCTTTCTTCCTTTATTTAAACCCTTACCCAAGGATATGTTCACTGATTTTAGAGAGAGGAAGGGAGAGAGAGAGAGTGAGTGAGAGAAACATCAGTGTGAGAGAGAAACTTCCATTGGTTGCCTCCCATACGTGTCCCTACCAGGGATCAAATCCACAGCCTAGGTATGTGCCCTGACTGGGGCTCAGCCTGTCTGCTTTCAGTGTACAGGATGATGCTCCAATCACCTGAGCTCTGGCCAGGGTTGGTTTCTGTATCTTTCTAGGTACACCTGCCCCCATAAGAAAATGGGTTGAAATACGACATGGAATATGAATAAAAGGGTCAAATGAAAACCTCTGAACCTAAAACAAGCAGAAGCTATAACAGAGTTTCTCAGAGACTCCCAGACCACCTGCTGTGAGAGCGCAGGCCCAAGGTGCCACAGGCTGCAGCCCAGGCAGGCACTGCTGCCCGCTGCTCCTCTGCGAACGCCCTTTCCCCTCCAAGGAGGAGGTTTTGTTCATCCTCACAACATCCGCATGACACTAACGCCAGGTAGATGCTCACACCTTCCGGGTCCTCTCAGACATCGCCACGATGACCCTGCTGCGTTCGGACAACTGTGGACTGCATAGAAATCAATAAGCCTGATCTGCTAGTGGACGAACATTTTAATCACAGAACAAACCTCGAGCCTCACTTGTTGAGGAAGATGAGAAACCAACCTGCCGGCGTGGCTCAGGGGTTGAACGCTGACCTGTGAACCAGGAGGTCACGGTTTGATTCCCCAGTTGGTCAGGCACATGCTGGGGTTTCAGGCTCCGTCCCCAATAGGGGTTGTGCAGAGGCAGCCGATAGATGATTCTCTCTCATCTTTGATGTTTCTATCTCTCCCTCTCCCTTCCTCTCTCTCTAAAATCAATAAGGACATACGAGAAACCAGTTACTGTCTATTCTTGGACTCAGCGGAACAAGTTTGAAAATCCCCGTGGGGACTGAACACAGCAGAATCCTCATCCCCTGCCCTCTTCACGGGTGTCTTTCCCTGCAGCGTGTTCCCTGTTTGTGGGGGCAAATGGTCAGGTTGTTTACAGCGTCCGCCTCATGAAAGAGCAGCCAAACCCACGCCAGTGTCTCCCAGCACCCGAGTGGAGCTGCGTCTGCTGCACTGCCCTCCCCAACCGCAGGCGCGGGCGCAGGGCCCTCTCTGTGTCCTCCTGCCGACGGTGCTCTCTGCTGCCTGGGCCTCCTCAGCCCGCTTGGCCCAGTGCTGCCCTACAGCGTGTGCCCGGGCGGGTATGTGATCAGAATCCCGGTGTCTGAGGCGGCTGCTGGGAGTGAGCGTGCAAGATCCGGCGCGGCGCCGAGTCTGCCGGCCACACCGCTGGCTCAGGCTGGCCTCCCCTGGCCCCGGGATCCACTTCCAAACAGCCCGCCCGCGCAGCAGGGCCCAAGGACTCAGGCCGGGGCGAGACACAGCCCGCTTCGCAGAGGAAGAAAGTGATGGGGAAGTCCCGCCTCCGCATTCCATCGGGGCACCAAGTAACTGTGGGGAAAGGGGGTTCAGAGAAAGAACCCACTTGGGGACAGGGCTGTGAATTAGGCGCTGGTGCAGCTGGCTGTTGGGGGATGGGTTTTAAAAGAGAAGACTTGAAAATGCGCTGCTGGTTGCAAGGGTTGGTGTGGGCAAGGCTCTCACTGGCGGACTTCCTAATTCTTAAAACGCCAAGGGCACTGTGGGCTTGTCCAGAGCAGAACTCCTGTGTTAGACACCATCGCCCGAGCAGCTAGACGCCAGAGGAATGAACTGAGACCATGCCTGAGCGCTCCCTCGCTCCGGTGCGTAAGTGATCCTCCTCTGTCCTCCTCAGGAAGAACGCTGCAGCGCGTGATGAACGACACCGCTTTCAGAAGGGTATGATTAATGATCGTTTCCTGGCACCCAAGATTGCATTTCTGACTCAGCTCGTGGTTAATTTTGTAGCTGCCAGAATATAGAATGTTCTTAGAATAATTTTAATTATAACACTGATTGCACTGGGAACTTTATTATATCTTGGTAGCCTGTCAGATGACCTGGAGGAATTTGACAAACATTGTAGCAACGCACACAGCGTCTAACTCAGGAGGGTCCCCTGAGACCCGCAGAACGCAGTGGGAATTCTTTGTGGGGACGTGCCACGCGACCCCTGCACCCAGAGACAGAGCACAGCAAGAGCTCGGGTCACCCGTGTCCGGGGACTCACAGCCCAACTACAAAGACAAGGCGAACCAGTGACCTGCCAGTTGTGCCAACCCCTCCAAGGGCTGGCACATAGAGAGGAAATAGACTCTTCATCTGTTCCAGAGGCAGAAGAAGGGTCTATCCATGGGATTTATAAACAAATGAATGAACAAACCCCCAAACATTCTAACAACAAAACTTGTCTAACAGCGAAGCCCGTGGCTGTAGGGGCAGCTGCAGTGTGTGGGGAGTGAGGGGGG